CCTTCCAACTCTAGGATTCTATGTATTCTTGCATGGCAGAAGAAGGTTGAACTGGTGACCCTTGGGGATCTCTTCCAATTCTTGGATTCTAGGATTCTCTGACCCTGCCGCTGTGTATCTGGCGTCCTGCCATGCATGCAGGAGGTTGGACTTCTTGGCCCTTGGGGTCTCTTCCAACTTTATTGTTCTATGTTTCTAAGTGCAGCTCCACTGTTCTCCTTTTTGGATCCTTGCAGGAGATCGGTATATTGTGGCCGACTGTGGCGGAGGGACGGTGGATCTGACCGTGCATCAGATCGAGCAGCCTCAAGGGACCCTCAAGGAGCTCTACAAAGCATCAGGTGAGGCTGGCAGGGAAAGCGAAAGGATCTTGGAGCACCTTTGAGACCAAGTGAGCATCTGAGAAGGTTGACCAGGGCTTCCCAGTTTGAGGCGTCCGCATGCCCAGAGGATCCAAGATGGAATTTCAGGAGCTTGCGGTCTTGAACAATGAGTCAAAAATCATAGTCTTTTTTAGAAATTAATTCATTGCTTCCCAAACTTTGGTTCCCCAGGTGATTTGAACTTCAACCCCCAGAATCCCCAGACAGCTTATAATCAAGAGCCAGGAATTCTCAGAGCAGAAGTCCAAAACACCCGGAGGACCAAAGTTTGGGAATCACTGATCTAATTGCTCAATTTTGATTTGCATTTTATGCACCGAGTTAAAAGCGTATACTTTTTAAATCCGATTTGTATGTGGTTCAATCTGTGGTTTGAAAATTATAAATTAAACGTCTTCATCTTCAAACGGGATACAGCTGGCCCTCCATATCCATGGGCTTTTTGCTCCCATGGATTCAAGCAGCCAGGGATTGAAAATATTCCAAAACACACAAATTCCCAAAAGCAAGCCTTGATTTTTGCCATTTTATATAAGGGAGACAATTTTATTATGCCATTGCATATAATGGGGCTTGAGCATCCATGGATTTTGGTATCCACAGGGGGTCCAAATCCCCAAATCCCAGTGGGTACCAAGGGCCCACTCTGTTGTATGGGGTGCAAACATTAATCAAACATTTTCTTAGGGTTTGAGGCATAGAAAAGGTTGGGAAACACAGAAGTAGACCAAGTCTACAAAAGCTTTTGCATTTCTACTGCTGTTCTCACACACAGACTGCTTGCAAAGGTCTGTCCCCAGTCCATCCGCTCTATGCATCTGAGGAAATAGACTCAAGGCTGGATCTGCACTGCAGAGATAATCCAGTTTGACATCCCTTTAACTGCCATGACTCCATCTTACAGAATCCTGGGATTTGTAGTTTGCTGTGGCGCCAGAGCTCTCTGACAGAGAAGGCTAAAGGTCCCACGAAACTGCAAATCCCAGAATTCTATAGCATTGAGCTATGGCAGTTAAAGTGGTCTCAAACTGGATTATCTCTGCAGTGCTGAGGCAGCCTCAAGTTTAAGAAAGCTCATGCCAGGTGCTACAAGATCCCTTTCTAAACTGATCTTTGCAAAGATCCCTACAAGATCTCTTTGCTATGACTCTGAATTCTTTTCCAATCTGTATTATGAGTAGGTCCACCTATCGCCTCTTCTACCAAGTTGTGGCTACAGTGATGTATATTGCATTAGCTGTCCAGAAGGGTTTGAGGAACAGTTTGTTTTTGTTTTTCCCCAGAGCTCAGAAAAGTTACTTTTGGGGGATTGCCAGGCTGCTTGGGGGATTGCCAGACTGCATTTGTAGTCTGAAAGAAGTAACTTTCCCAACAGAAGGAGCAAATTGCAGCTCAGCCTCTGCTGAAAAGGGAATTAATTATAATCAATAATCAATAATCAATAATGATGATGATAATAATATTTTTTATTTATATCCTGCCTTTAGCTGAGGCTATCAAGGCGGCTTACAATTAAAATACAATCCCATACCATTATAATAGACAGTACAATACAATACAATAATAATTATCCTTGCAACTTGGAGCGTTTTAATATTGTGACTAGTTCAGTCTAATCTTTTTGCATGTTTTTAATTGTATTACTCTTTTAAACTGTAAACTGCCTTTCGTTCCAACTTTGGGAGAAAGGCGGGATGATGATGATGATGATGATGATGATATATTTTGATGAAGACTAGAATAATTCTAAATCCTCCACCATAAACTAGGGGCCTTTGCAGAATGCTAGAAATAGTGCAAATTGAGTCCATTTCAGCTGTCCTGGCTCAGTGCTAGGGAATCATGGGAATTGTATTTTTTTCTGAGACATTGAAACTTCTCTGTCAGAGAGCTCTGGTGCCAAAATATACCACAGTTCCCATGATTCCCTAGCACTGAGTCAGGGCAGTTAAAGTGGACTCAGTTTGCACTATTTCTGGCCGTCTGCAAAGGACCTAGGATTCCACCAAATGGAACGATGACATTTAAAGTGGAATCGTAGCGCTCTAATTGTGCAGTGTGAAAGGTCCCCCTGAATATACTTGGTAGTCATATGGACACTTGTTTGTGTGATGGAGACTATATTTGGGAAGGTGCCTTGTGCCAAGTCAAACCCTTGATGCTCCATATAGCCCAAAGTTGGCAGCAGCAACAGAATATATATATAGTCTCTCATATATGTGTGTGTGATTACGGTATATATATGAGAATATCTGGAGAATATCTGAATATATCTCTACATATCTCTATATTTATATATACACACCCTTGCACATATCTAGCTAATAGTTGGCTCATTTTGCCTCCTGGGGAGCTACCCACCCAGGACCTAACTAACCACTGACCCTACTAACTTTCCAAAACCAGATAAGATCAGGTACATTCGGGGTGGTATATGAAATGTCCATGCAAATTTAAGCCATTTGCAATTTGGAAACACAGCAAGCCTATAAAAGGGCTCTGGATGGAATGCTCCAATTCCTCTCCCTCTCCATGGTGCTTTTTAAATATAGAGTATATGTATATTTTCTAAACCCATGTTAGGTTTTGGCTTGAAGCTGGCATTGACTTCAGCAGTTATGTTGGAGAACCATCTAGTGATGGAAGCTGAAATAGCAAGCATGATCCTAAAGATAAGGGGAAAAAAGGGGCCACCCTTGTTTAACTTGGGGGTTGTGGGACTGCAAAGAATACTAGGGTTCAATTCCTTCTTCTGTAAAGTCAGTTAAAACATTGTTATATTTTATAAAGATCAATACAGGTTGAGTCTCCCTTATCCAAAATGCTTGGGACCAGAAGTGTTTTGGATTTTAGATTGTTATTATTTTTTTGGATTTTGGAATATTTGAATACACTTAATGAGATATCTTGGAGAGGGGACTCAAAGTCTAAACACAAAATTCGTGCCGTCTTCCAAATGTTGTTGGACTGTAAATCCCAGCATCCCCCACTGTTGCCTGTACTAGCTGATGGGAATAGTAGTTCAGCCACACTTAGATAGATCCTTCTAGCGAAACGGCAGCCTAAAGACACTTAGACTGTTGACATTTTGGATTTGACACTCTCAGTATGAGCTTGCATTTGAGAGCAGTCATTTATGCCATCTCTGCTCCTTTTGCATCATATGAGACTATGTTTTACTTAAGTACCCATCTCAAAATTGCAGCTTTCACTGCAAGTATCTTCCAAATCAATGTGTGTGTATAATTTTAATGGAATTCTGGACCATTTCAATTGATTTCCAAATGCCAGCTGGAATAAATGCAGCATAGCACATTTCCCGAAAAGAGATCCATGTGGGAGATAAATAAATGTCTCTTGCCTCAGTTGTGGGGCCACCCCAGAAAATGCCCTGCTGGCAATTCTATTTCATTGGGAGGAAGGCAGTTGATTTGGACATTCCTGCTGTTGGAGACTTGAAGTCTCCCTGGGTTTGGTGTGATCCAGTGGCTTTCCTTTGACCCATTCCTCTTCCGGTGGTACCTTCCAGGAGGTCCTTATGGAGCTGTGGGGGTAGACCTTGCCTTCGAGAAACTGCTCTGCCAGATCTTTGGGGAGGACTTCATTGCCACATTCAAGGCCAAGCGGCCAGCAGCATGGGTCGACCTGACCATCGCTTTTGAGGCCCGCAAACGGACGGCGGCACCTCACCGTGCCAACCCTCTCAACATCTCTCTGCCTTTCTCCTTCATTGACTTTTACCGGAAACACCGGGGACAGAATGTGGAGACGGCCCTCAAGCGGAGCAGGTAGGGGCAACGGGGTTTTATCTTGGGAGTTTTCCAAGGAGAAACAGAATCCTGTTGGTGAACAATCCTCTTGTGCAACAGGGCAATCCATGGGTTTATCCTGATTTTACTACCATTCTATTGCAGTCAGTCCTTGGTATCCGATAGAATTTGGTTCCAGGACCCCCCATGGATACCAAAATCTGTGGGTGCTCAAGTGCCATTCAACATAATGGCATAGTGAAATGGTGTTCCTCATATAAAATAGCAAAATCAAAGTTTTTTTTTTAAATTTATATACAGTGAGACCTTGGTATCTACTGGGGATTGGTTCCAGGACTTTCCATGGATACCAGAATCTGTAGATGCTCAAGTCTCATTAAAT